CCACAACCAAAAAAGAAAAGAAAAGTCTCCCCCAAAGCAGCCATCCAACAATAGGCCCCTCATCTGGCCTTCAGACCCTGCCTAGCTCTGTGGCATCCTGTGAGCTCCACAGCCATGGCTGCCACTCCTGGGTGGGCCAGGGTGTGTGCTCAACATGCCAGGAAGCATCACTTCCCAATTGTGTGTTTCAAGGTCTCGTTTGAAGTGAGTAGGACTATGCCCAGAATTGGAACAAGATGTCCAAGCCACATGTGCTTTGCAAGGGACACCCCCATTACACCCCACCCCCCACAGCCACACAGAGACAGAGCCACACAGGGCTACCTCCCCTAGGCCCTGGCTTAGGGGGTTGGGAAGGAGAGCTTGAATCTCCTGTTGTTCAAAGAGAGCCACCCAGGGCTGCTTAGTCCCTGAGCCCAGAGGTCATCTCAAAGCCATGTGTATAGTTTGACTAATTTTTTTTTTCCTGGTCCTGGGACTTAACTTCGGACTTGGGTACTGTTCCTGGGCTCAAGGCAAGTGGGCTATTTGAACCCCAGCTCTACTTCTGGCTTTTTGGAAGTTAATTGGAGGTAAGAGTCTCATGGAGGGGCTGGGAAGGTGGCTCAGTGGTAGAGCGTTTGCCTTGCATGCCTGAGGCCCTGGGTTCTATTCCTCAATACCACATAAGCAAAAAGAAAAAAGCCGGAAGTGGTGCTGTGGCTCAAGTGGTAGAGCGCTAGCCTTGAACTGAAGAGCTGAGGGACAGCGCCCAGGCCCAGAGTTCAGGCCCCACGACCGGACCCCCCCAAAAAAAAAGAGTCTCATGGACTTTCCTACCCCAGCTGCCATCAAACTGTGATCCTCATATCTCAGCCTCCTGAGTAGTAGCTAGGATTACAGGAGGGAGACACTGGCACCCCACTTGACTGAGATTAAGGTAACAACTTTAATGGCTTTCCTGAATCAAGCCATATCATTATCTTCATTTTATAGATAGGGAAACTGAATTGTGGTTTAGTCACCTTACCCAAGATCTAGCTAGGTGATAACCTCCTGGGATTTGAACCTGGGTGGCTCTTTGCTCTGCCTTCTGTGGTACAACTGTCACATTGCAAAAGACCTCCAAGGTCTGGTGACAGATGAGAAAAGACCAATGAAGACATTGATCTTTTCTTGTTTTTAATGCCATTTCTTTTTAAGCATTCAATTGTGACCTATGTGAATTCAATTATACCAAAATAAAAACAAAGAGGAGATACAGCAGTATAAGCATGTAGGGGAACACATTGATTTCACAGGATGGTGGGGGGGTGTGCATATGAACATATGATGGAGTGTGAGCATCTCTCCAGATCACCTAAGACTCTGCTTTTGGAAAGCTGTACACTTGGTCAGACTCTGCACCCAAAGCACCAGGCAGCTGTTGGAATATGCCCACTGTGGAACTAGTGAGCCCTTTGGTTTTTTTCTCTTTTTTTTTTTTTTGTTGTTGTTGGTTATGGGGCTTGAACTGAGGGCCTAGGTACTGTCCCTGAGCTTTTTCTCAAGGCTAATGCTCTAACATGTTATGCCACAGCTCCACTTCCAGTGTGTTAGTGGTTAATTGGAGATAAGAGTTTCAAGGACTTTTCTGCCTGGCTTCAAACCACAATCCTCAGATCTCAGCCTCCTGAATAGCTAAGATTACAAGTATGAACCACCAGTACCCAGCCCCATTAATTTTTTTTCAGTGCTAGCTTGTGCATGCTAGGCTCTGCCACTAAACCATGCCCCACACCGTGTGTCCTATTTGTGACTACATTATTGAAGCTGGGGACTTTGGGGGCATGTTTTCACTGTGCCTGGGTTTTCCTGTACATGCTCACTTTAAAAACTGAAATCCAGCCGGAAGCACTTGGCATATGCCTTGCATGTATGTAGTACACTCTAGACTGAGCTCTGCTCACCCTCTTTGTACAGTGTGGGCATCTGGTACACAGAACTCAAAGCTCAACGTTGCTTTGATATAGTTGTCTTGTGCTCCCAGAAGTGGCCACTCAAAGTCACTCAGCTCTTTTTTTTTTCCAATACTAGGGATTGAACTTAGGCCTTTGTACTTGCTAGGCACTTGAGTCATGTCTCCAGTCCTTTTGCTTTTAGTTTATTTGGCTTTTGTCCAGGTTGGTCTTGAACAGCAATCCTTCTACTCTACTCCCTCCTCCCTTGCAGCTGAGATTATAGGCATGCACCACTATGTCCAGTGCTGTTGACAGCTCTTCTATATTACAGCAGTGTAATATGCTCCTGCATAGAATCACCATGTACTTTCCTTGATATTCAATGATGGACAGTCTGAGGGAAAAATTCCTGGAGGTGAAATTGCTGGTGTAAAATATGGTGGAGTCCATGCCTAAAATTCTGATGTGGAGAAAAAAAAAGTGTACTGGCTTAATACCCTTCAAAGCAGGATAGGACACTAAGGACTTCTGACCCAGTGGGTACCTGGCCAGGTGGAAATAGCAGCGATAAACAGCTGCCCTTACCTGGGCTAATTGTTATTACATGTGGAAATGCAGGCCTTTTCTCAATGCTGGGGAAGATCTCAGTTAAATAGGAAGATTTCATTAAATAGGAAAGTACAGGTTTTCACGGCCATGATTGAGGCCTCTGTTGTTGATCTAGGCTTCATGATCCAAGTAAGTATGTACAGACTTCCAAGGAGGCCTGAGAGAGCTGAGTGGGGAGACACAATCCTCATCCTGAAATGTCCCAGTTGTTGCTGACTTTCTCAAACTTGCCCTATGTGAATTGATTTTGAAGAGACTTGTGTCTCCCAACACATTCCTGAGAACTGCTTGGTCAGTCCATCGTGACGAAGGGTAGGAGCCAGACTGTTGAAGTTTGAATCCCAACTGCTCTACCTGTCACCTGTGAGACTTGGCCACATCATTATCCTGCCAATCTGTGAAATGTGCATACCAGCCATTCCTACAGTGTAGTCAGAGCGTGTTAGAGCCCTCCTTATTTTTAATCCCAGCATCATATTAGTTCCCCTCCCTGACTCACATGTAAGGACAGATACATTAGACCCCTGCAGACCCCTGAGAACTCGGTAGGCAGAGGGAAGGACTCTGCCCAGTGGATGGACTGGTGGGAGAAAACACTAGGTCAACAGGACTAGACAAGGTTCCCTGAAATACTTCCTGCAAATGTCTCCAAGGAAAGAAAGGAGACAGAGTTCCAAGATCCCCTTCAAGGCCACATCCCCAGTGACTTAACTTCTTCCCACTAGGCCCCACCTCCTAAAGGCCCATCACCTCATGATAGAACCAGCCACAAGCTGGTAACAGATTCTTTAGCAAGGAGCCTTTGGGGACCATTCTAGATATAAATCATAATAGTCCCTAAATTGCACACCAAATATGTAGGTAAAGTGGGGCAGCCAGGAGTGGACAGAACTAGACAGAGTCCAGTCATGACCACATATGACCTCCTCAGCAGCATCCAGCCCTAGTGACTACTTGGTCCTCCCAAATCACACCTGCGACCCAGACATCTGTTGCACCTTCCCTCCCTTATACCTCCTTCCCTGCTAGGCCTATCCCAGCTTGTATCTCCTCCCTGTTCTCAGCTACCCTCAGGTCCTGTGTCAGGTCTTCTTCTGTTTTCTCTCTGTGTGCCTCTTATCCTCTAGTATTCTGTCTGCATCTCAAATCAACTGTCAAGCTGTTAATGGATACTTGGGCTGGGGATACAGTCCCATGTGGTAAAGCAAAAGAAACCCATCAACTAAGTGGATGGATTTCCAATGTTTAGGCCTTGCAGAATAAATGAATGTATTATACATGCCTAGTAAATAGTAACAAGATGAAGATTTTAGTGCTTTTTTTGACTGGATGGTTTGTAAGTGCAGCAGGCGTTTGTTGTGGGAGTGTGGAGTGGGAGGTGAATGAATGCACCTTAAATACTGGTTGCCTTTTGGTGAATGACTTCTTAGGGCCCATAGTCTGCTGAATCACCAGATCCATGCCTGGAGGAAACATCATGCCACCAGTGCCACCTTGCTATCCAACTGTAAGCTGTCTAGAGCTTTTGGGCCTATTGAGCCTCCAGTACAGTGACCAGATCACATTTCCTTGCAGGAACAATGCCTGGTCAGGGTTGGAGGAGGACACTGAGGTTAGCTGGATAGAGAGGCTACCTGGGAAGGAGGTCCTGGTGCCTTCCCCATACCCACTTCCCCACTTAGTCCAAATATTCCTTCCAACTTTAACAGCTGTCCATGTGTCAGCCTGAGCTGGGGATGCAGCCATGATGGAGACTCAGTGTTCAGTGCCCACGACAGTTTGCATTTGGCAGGCTATGAATTACAGGGTACCAATGAGAAATTCACATGCTTTGAGACCTTAGGCTAGGGAGTAGACAGGTCATGCTCAGGTTTGTGAGAAGCTAAGATCAGATAGAAAAAGTAGTCTTGAGAAGGAGTTATCCTATAAGGGAAGGAGTGGCAGGAATGACAAGGCCAAAGGTTCTGAGGCAGCAAGAGTATATAGACTGAAAGAGGGGACTGAGAAAAGAGCCTTTCAGGACCTGGCTCTGAGAGCAAGGGGAAGATAGGTGAGCCGGAGGGCTAAGTTGACAGTGTTTGCTTTGCCTGGGGGACAAGGGATGGAGGTGGGAGTGGCTGTGGAGAGGTGGGGGGGACAAGTAGGGAGATCAGGGTGACTGGCAGAAGCCAGGCGTGAACTTGTGGACTGAGTGAACATGTTTGGGTTTCATTCTTGAGCACAGAGGAGTCACTAGGGAGATCTTAGCAAAGAACCCTAAAGCTCACCATATCTGTCAATCACCAAGATGGCTGGAGACATTTCTCTGCAGCTACCCTCCCCCAAATCCAGCAGGGCTCCTGTTGACTCATCCATCATTTTCACTTCCTTGCTGGCAGAGCAGCTGGGGCCAGCAGGCTGCAGAGCAGATGGGCAGCAATCAGCCCTCTATGTGGGGCCACCAGTTCACAGGAAATTCAGGGGCAGAGGAACATGTCAAATGGCACCACAGGGACCCTAAAAGTGGAAAGTGCAAAGGACAAGCGACCCTATTCCTTCAACAAGTATAACATCAAAGTAAAGGAAGGTGGCTGCTATGGAGTGGAAGAGACAAGAAATATGGAGTGTGTTCCCCTCCTTTGAACTACTCAGCACAGGAGCCCTTTGAGACGATGAAATCTAATGCAGACAGGGTATTTTAACATAATAATTGACCATTTAGATAGGTATGATAATGAAATCTTAGGTTTTTATTTTTTGTTCTTACTTATGTTTTTATTATCTTTAAGTACTTATACAGAGAGGTTTCAACTTAAAACAAAAACTTACCCATACATACTATAGCTCAATCCTGTAGTAGGTAAAATCACCTGAAGTCTGGAATTTACTGGAAAATACTGTCAGGTTTGAGGATTATTGCTCAATGGTAGGGTACTTATGTAACATGTGGCAGGTCTCTGGGTTTAATCCTTAAAACCACAGAAAATAAAATGCTATATGAGCCGGGTGACAGTGGCTCAGCCTGTAATCCTAGTTATTCAGGAGGCTGAGATCTGAGGATCATGGTTCAAAGCCAGCCCTGGAAGGAAAGTCTGTGAGACTCTTACCTCCAATAAACCACCAGAAAACTGGAAGTGGCACTGTGGCTCAAGTGGTAGAGCGCTGGCCTTGAGCTGAAGAGCTGAGGGACAGTGCCCAGGCTCAAGAGTTCAAG